GCCTTGCTTATATTTTCCAAAGTAACTGCATGTTTTGAGAAAGTTTTTGATTGAAAATTTAGCTAAGAAATTCTTAACTTTGGTTATCAAGATACAAAATACAGAAGTATTTTTTTTCATACAGGAGCTGAATACCCAACTGATAGAGGCAACTCTTCTGGACCAAATAAGAGTTGCCTATTCTGCACTAGAATTTCCTATATTTCTTAAAGGATCAGCTATTGTGAATGCCAAAGTTGGTAAGGCTCTTTATTACAATTCAGTTGTTTCATTCGGGCAAAAGTTTGATCAAGAAATGGAGTAATTGCTAGAATACATTTAAGCTTTAGAAATTGCTTGTCAATAATTTCAGTCATGCTTTTTTGACAAGAGTTGTTAACCTGTCTGTAGTTTTTGCACGTTCTGATTATTTTACATAATTTTTGTCTATTGGTTTTTAAACAGTGTTCAATATCATGTCTCTCGAAACGACTTGTGAGAAGTAGTTATTCAAACGTAACTAAGATTAGGTGAAAACTGTTAACATAGAAGAAGATAAAGCTATTTGTAAAGATTCCCCTTTCATTTTGTTTCAGATATGTAGTCCTACACTTTAAATTTTTCAATGAATATCATGCTTCAAGAACATTATTGTTATGTTGTAAGTAGGAAACAGGCGACCTTAGATTCGATACCATTTAAAAGTCACGGTCTTTCTTTTTAAAATGCAAGTTCCTACTAGTGATTTAGAATCCATTTTAAAGGGCTCTTTTAGAGAAAGTTTTACCTAAATTGTCTGTACAAGTGATTCTTAATGTTGGAAAGTGCTATGTTTTATTCATTGTGCACTTCGCGATGTCATTTCTTTTTTCACAGAATCTGTATATCCTAATGTAAAAGTTGGATATCTAGAAGAATTCACAGAGCTCCATATTGCTCCGGAGCTTACAAAGAAATCTGTTATTTCCAGAGACGAGAGAAAGATATCTAGAAAATTTGATGGTCTATTTAAGAAAAATCTCCAAACAAAGACCACTACCATGTGCGAGAAATCAGATAGTACTCTCTCATCGTTATGGAACTTCATAGTGAAACAAGGTCCAGAAGAGATAAAAGAATTTAATGAAAACACTATTCATGCAAATACACATTCAAGACCCACAGCTTCCTTTTGCACTGGGCAGGAAATAATTAACGAAACAAAGCACATTAGCGAAGTTTTAAGAATTCATCCTGTTGTTCCTAGGAAAAACGACACGCAAAGTAGAAGTTTATTTACCCTCAACTACCATCCTTTTCGTTGTTTTGTAAGTTTGAGCACCTTCAAGTCAATCAAACGTCAGTGCACCTGTGTATTTAGACAGAAGACTGACAAACTGATAATGAAAATAAAAAAAATTCCATCTCCAAGACAAAAAGATGAATGGAGAAAGATCAAAGCAAGAAATGCAGATAATTCATCGGTCGCAGAGAATGAAAAGTGTAAGAATCTTATGAATTTACGTATATTTTGGTTAAAACTTTGCTAAATTAGGCATAAATTTAGACACAGCAATTTAAAAGAATTTCAAGGGATTAAAAGCTGTTCAATCTGAAATTATCAACAGGTGATATTGAAAAAAATATGCAAGCCATGACAATAAGATATTTTTAAGAAAACGATTTATCTTAGAAATTATTGCATTTCCTAAAATATGGTTATCTTGACCCGAGACAGGCAGACAGAGGTCAGTTATAAATTTATAAATTTCATGACATCTATAGCTACATTTTAGGGCACTTTAAACTGTGTCTTAAATGGTATATATAAAGTTTTTGGAAAGCATTTACATCTTCATCTATTAATAAGTAATTACTATACTCATGACGAGAAATCTGAAGTCCATGCTATCATTCTGCCTTTGTCAACTGTCGAGAAAAAATACAAATCTCTTTCGTCACTTGTACATTTTTACAGTAGATAGAAAGTTAAATCAAAGTTAAAATGCCTTGAATTATTTTAGTACTTTCCGTTACAGCCGCTATTATTGAAATCGTTCCTGTAAACGACGACCAGTTTCCTGAACAACTTCAAATGAAAAATATGGCTGTTAGCTTGGAGGTTATGGCATTCTTGAATGCAGACCAAGGGTCACTGACAGAGATTGAATGCTTGCACAAAGATGCATCTAGTATGTTGGGAATTATCATCAATGTTCTCAGCAAAAAGGTATATATGCCTACAAGCGTTTACTGTTAGAAGAGATCTTCTTATATTTAGGCATGCTGTGGTGTATAGTGCATGCTATGGTGTATAGTTCAGGGTGGCCCGCGATTTAACATTGTGGTCCATGCTAAGTGCCATCACTGGTAACTGTCTGCACAGGTATTGACAGGAAATTTTGGGTCTTTAGGGACTTGAAGGGGCAGATACCATATCTGGTTTCGGAATAGTTGCGACATTTTTAATAATTTTTACTCAAAATATGCAATATTCTTGTCCGGTTAGAAACGTCACTAAAGCTGAAACCTAAAGTCGAATCATCTACAAATATACTGTTGGACATACTGTTGGTTTGCCTAAACAATGTTTTGCTGTACCAAAACAAAATACCCCGCTAAACCTGCTTAGTTTCTCTGTACACTTGTGACAATTAGTTAGCATGGGGATAGTGTCCCTTATCTAACTTAGTAACTTCTGCCAACGCCTCCAGATTCAAACCTTCAAGGAAGCCAAAAATTTTTCGAGTTATCAAAGACACGAATAATAAAAAAATCGACCTTGCAGTAGTAACTTTGGAAGAAATAAGGGCATTCTAACAGTTAGACTTTCATTGTACAAAGAGTTTTGTTGCTTAATACCTTGAATGTATCATTATAGAGTTTTCACTGTCTGTGGTGCCTTTTTCGCACCTGTTTGTTTCAACAGCCAGCTTCTGAAGTGGACTTTTTGCTTGTTTCGTTCTAATCTCGTAATGTCTCGTAATGAATTTTCTCTCGAAGGTCAAGATCGTTCAGAACTTCTTTGGCTGTGTTGAATATGATTTATTTTATCTTGCTCAAGGTACCAGGCCTGGACACTGAAAAGGTTACTGAAATATTCCGAGGTTGGGCAGAACGAAAGATTCAGTCACATCAAGACCAAATTTTATTGAACGATTCAACTATATTGGAAATTAACAAACTGGAAGGTAATGCTTTCGTATCCAGTATCACGTATTGTGAAGGTCTACAATGAGCATTTGTGTGCACTTGAGAGATTTTTTGCTCTTGTGTGTTTACTGCTAGAAATATAATGGTAATTCAGACTCTTTCACAGCTCAGTGACTGACTTTGATTGATTGATTGATTGATTCACTTTTTGGTTACCATCTATCTCTAACATAAATTTAATAAAATCTGCAAAGATGCACATCAAGCTAATAAAATTGATAGTATTCTTTGACTTTAAACTCATCTGCTAGTCGGATCATTTAATCAGTCATTTTCTGATCAATAACCATAAAATTGATTGATTGATTGATTGATTGATTGATTGATTGATTGATTGATTGATTGATTGATTGATTGATTGATTGATTGATTGATTGATTGATTGATTGATTGATTGATTGATTGATGAGGTTGGCTGCTTAATGACAGGTTTATTTCAATGACCAATCAGATTTTGTTTGTTTATGTTTATTGACCAATCAGATAAGTTTTCATACCCCGAGACAGAACATCTTTCAACCTATCAGTATGGCAGGCTTGGTACATAATTTTTGTCTGTCCCGGACTTTCTTAGGCTGCCCGTTGAGTTGGTTTTATTTGTTTCTACATCACTCGATATTTTCCGTGCTTTGTTCACAAACTGTACTTTTGAGTTTGCTTTTTATTATATCTTCAACTTTGAAGACGGATAACTTAAAGTTAGATAGGGAATTTTGTACAGGATTATACAATATCACGAGAAATAGCAGCCTAAATCATCGGCAAAAATATGATTTCCTCTTCTTCACATGAATCTTTTTGAGTGAGTTTTTTATGCTTGTCCTAAATTTGTGGTATGAGAAGTTAAATACAAAATCATCTTTATATCATAAAACAGGTGAAAAAGGTATAAAAATAAGATATTAGACTAAACCTGATGGAAATCTCAAAATTTTCTCACGCTCTTTTTCCTAGAACCGGCTGTAGTGGTTTCCCTTGACTTTTTGACCGCGAAAGAGAACGAGTCGTCAGAACACAGTTATTTCTTTCTCAACGGAGATAGTTTGACCGCAACATCGTTGGTTGCAAATTTCCGTACGAAAGAAGAAGCTAAAAAGCTGGCAAATTACCAGAATCGTGATAGAATTTTGGAAAACTTCAAGCTTTTCAAAGAGGATCAGTTAGGGTAAGTCCCCAATGTTTAGTTGAATTGCATCATTTCGAATCATATTTTAATCTCGAAATGACGTATAGGGGATTTAACTAACAATTTTGTAACCGTTTTCACTTTTTACGAAAAACAATTAAACTAACCAAAAAATCTGTCCAAGTTAATGATAAATATAAATCTAGTGATAAAGTCTGTCCTTGTTGATAACTGATATGAACTATATTTAGGTAACTTGGTACCTTTATTGAGTTTAAATATTTTGTTTAAAACAACACACATACACGATTATAGATCGTTCTTAGATTTTTCGCTGTCCCTCGGCAACATAACACACTGGATCTCATATGAATTGGCTGAATTCTACGTTTTATTATTCTTTGCTCTATACCTTATTCCCTTCAGTAAGCATACTTGTTTACTTTTAGTAAAGTCTGCGATTATCTTATATATATCTGTACATATATTCATACATTTATCACATTAATTCATTGCCGTTATTTATGTTAACTGCAAAGTGAAATTTCTTGATTTTAGATCAAATTAAATTTCCGTTTCACCTATTGGCAACTAGATTTTCTTTCTTTAACTCTAATTTTTTTCTATTTTTGTTGAGTTATTAGCAAAAGCATGAACTGAAAACTTTTTACATATTGTTTTATATTTTAGGGGATTTTCTGATTTGATAGCCAGAGGAATTGCGTATCTCAATAGCATATTGAAGCCTGCACATAAGGACAGAGACATTAGGCCATTCTCACACAAAGGTTCAATGTTGATATGTGCTGCCTCTAGAACCGGGGCCAATGGTAGTGGGCGATCGGCCCTAGCCCTGGAGCTATGCAATGCCGTCAGACAGTCTCCATACTTTTGTCACATCGAAAATATTGATTGTATTTCATTAAGAGGTATGTTTTTATGCATTAAAGTATTTAATTGTCTTTTCCCATTATTCTAACATAAGCTCATTGCACAACAATAATCGATTCAAAAGGCACACTTTTAATTTGAAAGAACTTTTTAGATTGATTCCTTGTAAGTTACGATATAGTATTTTATTAACTTCTAAAAAATTTTTGTTTCATATTTTAAGCATATTTTGATTTTTACTTTCTGAAATGAAGTTTTTTACCGTCTTGAGAAGAGATTATCTCGTAAAACAAGAGGTTAAAATCACTAGTTCTAAACCATTTTTTATCTTCATCAATGTGATGTTTCCTTTTTTTAATAATGAAAGGTACCTTCCAATTCGGACACCGGGACATCACTGCAGTCTCACTTTTCTCTGTGCTCCTTACATATTTTTTTAACATTGTAATCGTTGTCTAAAGAAATTTCATTGCTGTTCAGGCTGCAAGAATATGATTTTCCAAAATAGCAAAAAAATATTTGATTTATTCTCCTATTCTTCAAGAAATTCCGTTTCTTGCGTTAAACAAAATACATTTTTTATGAGACGAAAATGTAGAGAAATTGGCTCTACGATCGAGCTTACTTTACTCCACGATCTATATGATTTTTCACCACGATCTGATCTGACTTTTCTCCATCTTTTAGCTAACATTTTATCTACCGATACTTAAGTAGGTTTTTTTGTGCACTTCGAAAATTCTTTATCACTTCTTACGTATTTACGCGTACCGCGAGTATTGCATTAATATCTTGCCATATATAATTGTTAATGTTTTCAAAGGTAAGAAACCAGAAACGATCTTGCGCAGGATGCAAGTAGCTATGGAGGAGGCAAGATGGCGGCAGCCTTCAATCGTTGTCTTTGATGACGTTGATTATTTGATCAAGCAACCTGACCCGGTCAAAGATGCAGAGCCAACCGTTCAGTATCATTCCAAACTTGCTGAAGGTTATTCCTTCTTATCTAAGTTTATCTTTGTATTTTTGTATTCGTGAAAAAATTCATTTGGAACAAATGAATTGAATGACTGTTTTGAAGGATCATTCTTTTCCCTTCCTTATACTTTGACATTTTTTAGTGGCTGATGATAACAAGAAGGAAAATCGTAGCTAAAGTCTTTGTAGTTTGTGTCTTGTGATCAGGGGTATGCTGACAGAAAGGGCGAACATAAAAACTCTACCCAAAAGTGTACCCGAAATTCTTTTAGAGTGGTTTTAAAGAGAATTAATTTTGTTAGTACTACAGTTATTTTCCAGCAAATAGGAAAAATTGCCAATTTACTCAAAGGTATTGTTATTATATGTCGTCGAAAATTAAAAATTGAATTTAAAATTGGTGATGGTCAGGTATAATGATTTTGGGGATTCTTCGCTACAGCGTTCAGGTATTATTTTGGGATGTTCGGAGGGAGGCAAGCATTCTTCTCTCTAGGTTTTAATGTTTTTCTGACATCGGTTCAAAGAATCAATCTAAATGAAATGAATGCGTCTGGAATTGGTGAAAATTTTATTTTGTTAGGTTTAAAAGATTTGCTGCGAAGAGAGATGATTTCATCAAGCCTAGTTGCAACGATTCTTGTTAGCAAAAGCAAAAATTCTTTGCATGAAATCTTCAGTACTCCTTCTGGTTGGCACTTTATAGAATGTTCACTTGTTCTTCATCCACCTGACGAAGCAGCGAGAGAAGAAATTCTGTATAAGATTGTGAAGCGATTATCATGTGTAGTTACAAATCCTGCTGATGTCAAGTAAGTGTTTTTGCACCTTTTTTCTTTGTAAGATTTTAATTATTATGGCGCTGGTTTCCACCGATTAGTCAATCGTGAGTTGCTTGGTTTTGCCAAGATGCTTCACCAGGGGTCTCAGGAAAACATAAGCTTAAAGATGTCCTAAATATAACCTCAAAGGTGCTCATAGATGTATTGAACACAATCTTTTCTATTGTTCAATATTCTCTAGTGTTACTTTCGATATGAAGATTCGACTCTCCAACAGTTCTCTTAATATAGTGATACCAGATCGCTTTTGAAATCTTACATAGGATTGGATAAGCAATCAAAAGTTTAATAGAGTAGAGAATAACTTGACAGCAGTGTTGATACATTGAGGAGCTGGTCAAGATGTGACTTGCAAATAGTTTTGAGAGCTTGCACTGATCATGTGTGTGCTATCTGTCAATTAGAAAGAGGATTTTTTATGCTCCTAAAGAGTTTACAATACCCTTCTTTAAACTACAGTACAAAAACGAGACTACAGGGGGCTTGAATCTTCATAACAACCTTGTGGCCGTTCACAATGATCTCAAAGTCTATTTCAAAAATGATGCTAGGTGAAACACCCAGGAAGGGTAAATATATGTCCGTGGAGACACTCAGGAATGTTTCTCGAAAAAATGATTGATAGATGAGGGGGCCTTTCCTTGTTGGTAGTTTACTTACGCCTTATATTTCGGTTTCCCAGCGGTTTTGTGTGTACGTAAGAGGCTTTTTATCAATCTCATCGATAAATCAAATAGGAAAATTTTGTCATGTGATTAATACTCGCGTTCGTATATATTTGTATTAGTACGCAAGAGTAAGCAGGACAAATACTTTGGTTAGAGTTTGTGGTATTGCCCGGAAGTCTTTGTAAAGCTACGTTCTTATTATCTACAATCACTGCCAAAATTACTTGGAACACCTAACACTTTGCGCTGTGCTTTTCTATTTTTCATTTGTTTTCTTGAATACTACCACTTCCGCCCCCCTTTCCCCCCAAAACAATGTTGAAAGTATGAAAAAATATCAAACAATCCACAAGAAAAAGCGTACTCCATAACCCCTTTCTTTTTTCTATAGTAAATCACCATTGTTCCTAGGGGGAGAGGGGGATGGCTGAATTTGCCTTTGAAAACCTACGTTAGTGTTCCAAGACTTTTGGCAGTGATTGTACCTTAAAAAGCTTCTTTATTGATTACTTTGGAACCAAGAACTAGTATAGTCCTCAAGTGTTCTCAAGAAAGCCAGGTGCATTGTAATAATTTACGAATGTTATTTCCCGTATTTCCTTTTACCGTACAGCCTCAACTTCTTTAGAGCTGGTAATTTTCTTCGAATACGGTTAATGAATATAGCTCCTTAGTTTCACCATGATGATGATTTTAAAAGGTTATATCTATCTTCGAATCTTCACTCCGCCTCATGTGCCTAGACATAACTGTGAAAAAAACTCTTTTCAACAGCTCTTTTGTTGTTCATTTGTTCCATAGCCATCTTTATTCATTCTTCTATTTCGTTGTTGCTCATTCTTGACTTTTCCAACTGTTAATCTTCGAACCGCAATACTGTATTAAACAGTTGTTTGCTCAAGTTAATTTCATTTCTAGTCATGATAAGAGGGCTCTTGGCTGGTTTGTCAAAAGTGCTCAATGCCCGGTACAACAAACTGTTTCAAAGTTGCTAGGCCCAATGAAATTAACGGCAAATTCCAGTAATCGCATTCTGCCTCCAACTCGTAATGGCGACCAAGAGCTGTCTTGTTGTACACACAACATGTTATTTCTAATGTATGTCTTTCGATTTTTATTATAACCTAAATGATCTTATTCATTAGGAAAATGGCGGCATTAACTGAAGGCCATCTTCCTGCTGATTTAGAGACCATTTTGAAGCGTGCTAAGAACTCATCTATAATGAAAAGCAAAATAAACTCTGGTTGGTATTTTTCGCTTGTTTTAGATTTTAATCTTTCCTATTCGCTGTTTCATTTCATTTCTTGTCTTTGTCTTCATTTTATCCTAACTGGTGTGTTAGCTGAAAAAGACATATGTGATTGTTGATGCTCATTTGTTGGCGAATGGAATGTGGGCACAATAAGGACTAGGCTCACCCCAACAACAAGTATCTAGCTATAGCACTTCAGTACAAGCACTAGTCAAACAACAAGTACAATTCAGTCAGCTCGTAATTCGTTTGAACGCGATGTAAAACAGAGGTTTAATCAAATCGAGGCAAGTTGAGGACAATACTTTAAGAACATTCTGCTTCATTAGATATTCTGGAATAGACGAAAGTTGATAGTGATATTGGGGTTGTGTGTATTGTGACGGATGCTGCGATGGCACTCCTGCATACACTGTAAAATTCGAGGTACTTTTTCGAGGTACTCGAGCCGTTATTCAGGGGTACTTTTTCTGAAAAGTGCGGAATTATTGGTATCGGTTTTTCAAAACTTTTGTAATAATAGGTACCGTTTGAAGAAAAATGCAGAATTATGGGCACCATGCAGATTTATGGGACAATCATGCAAATTTATTAGGATTAACAAGGAATGGGAAATTTAGCATTAGCAAAATGAATGTCCAGTTTGCAATGAAAGTATGATTTCTGGTAATACTGAGATTTCGGGTAAAAGGAATACAAAATTTGTTTGATGATTTGGCTGTGTTTTGAAAAATGTTCTTTGCCTTGCGGAATTATGGGTATAGTTTTCATCATATTTCCGAAATTATAGATCAAATTTTTTTCAGACATTTGCGGAATCATGGGTCAAAAGTTTGAACCAAAATGGCACGTTCCCGTCCAAAACAACGCTTGGGTGGTAACCGAGCCAAAAACTCTAGTAATGTTGCCGAATGCTGTTCAGGAGATGCTACTGCTCTTTCTCAATCGGTCGCTAAAGTGACTAGAGGCTCAATGTTTTGTCTATAATAAATGAGCGGGTTAAAAAACGTTCTTTTGATTCACTTGCCTTGAAGGGTTTCCAGTCAATAATTTATTTAAAGCATGTGTCAAGAAAACGACAAGGGATCGGTTGACCGTAAAATTGATCCTTATGTAACACAAAATGTCAATATGATCCAGGGAAGATTAAGCAGTTTAATCTTATGGACATTTGGACCTCAAATTATTTGCTTCTAGTCCAGACTCTCGTTTTTCATTTTCTACCAGTAGGTTGTCTGGAAGATTCATTTTGTCTTATGTTAATGTCATGGTTTCTATTTCCATAAACCTGGAAAATGTGCTAAACACATCCAGTCCAGAAAATCCACATAATGTGGCATTTTTTCCAGAATTACACAAAAGTAGAAACAACTTCAACATAAAAGATTTAATAGAAGTGTGTTTTAAGGCCCGGCTACACGAAAGAATATTCAACAAAAATATGATATTATTTTATCATTCTTGCTTGTATTCCGATGAAGAATTTTTCAAAGAATGATCTTATCACCTCATTTTTTCATTGATAGAATATCCTTGTCAAGAAAGAGTAAACTCTCTCTGACCTATTTATATGGTGGACGCCCCGTCGTTTCCAGTCTGGGTGGTTGGCTAGGTCTACCTTCTTATAATAGCCATAAGCTTTGGAAGCCTTTTCAAGAAAAAAATAACGCGGGACTCGAGAATTGCACTTTAATTCGCTTTCTGTTGGCCTTCCACACGGTCATGGACCATACGACCGCCATGTTTCCCGGTCTATGTGAAAAAGGAACTTACAATAACGTCTTGAACGTAATTTTGCTACCCTAGCAAGTTGGGGCTATATTTTTTGCAGTTCTTTCTTGCAAGTATATTCTAAAAAGATCTTAAGAACATATTCCGGTATCAATTTCACTCCTGTTTGTTGCTCAACTCGCATACCAAAGCACAGAAAGAGCTCACATCCGTACAAATCCGCATTTCTATTGTCAAACTAGTTTGAATTAATTGTTCTTAAAATAGTATTTTTCTTGTTGAATACTCTTTCGCGTAACGGGGCCTTTATGCAAATAGGTTTGTTGTCTTTTTTTTACGAAGCGGCATGTATGGTAGTTCTTCCTTCCAGGAAGGTACCATCTTCCGAATGTGAACGGTCAGAGCTCTACAGGTCTACTATTCCTTATGAGAGCTATTATTGACCGCTTTGCATACAGGATTGCAATACCCCTACCCTCAAATGCATCAGCTGTATCAAACGCTAGATAAAAAGTATTGTTTCTACAATGGGGCCTAAGTAGTGTTCATCAACCTCTGAAGCTACTTGGCAACCATTTGACAAGAAACCCAAATAAGAGGTTTTCAAGCAAGAGTAACGTAGCATTAGTGTAAATGGCAATTGCTAAGGGGAATTTTGTGGGTGATGCTTATGCCTTTAGTTTCTGATGCTGTTGATGCCTATTGTTGCCGATGCTATATGTCTAAATGTATATCGTATAACTGATTTCAGGCCTCTTTTACCTTTTCTCTCCTGCAACCTTCAGTGATTCGTGCACTCGACCTTGATGATTTCAAGGCAGGATGTAATGGCTATAAACCTCTTGGGCTACACGGCATAGAATTACATTCGCCAGGGAACCTAGGCTGGAATCACGTTGGTGGCCTTGTCGAAGCAAAAAAAGTACTTATGGAAACATTTGTTTGGCCAATGAAGGTTTGACAGACTTTCTAAGAAATAGTCCGCCAATGCTATTTTTATTGCTGATCCTATGATGCATCTTGTAGTAATTCTTACTCTTAATGTAAAATCCTAAGGAATATGGGTTAAAGATTATCGCAATAATATAGACGTGCAACCTTGCAACTTAAGTCATTACAGTGGTTTGATCTTGTTAGGCACCAGTGTTAGCCTGGACTCCCCTTTTAATCTCCTTTACTTCAATTGAAAAACCAAGGTACCTCGAGCGTGGATTTAATTAAGAAGAAGTCCTAGACCACTTGGAAATCTATTGGTAATTTCGTAGCCTCACAGCTAAGCTAAAAGTACCCTGATCATTCTACAGTAACGTGTTACCAGCTTATCAGATTATTTCACGAATTTGGCAGATAGAGATTTGGTATTACATTATGCATCTATTGAAGCACTCACAGACATTTTTCTCTTCAACTTTCCAGTATGATCATTTGTTTTCTAAATGCCCGTTCCGTATGCGGTCCGGTGTCCTGTTATATGGACCGTCCGGGACAGGGAAGACATTGCTGGCGGGAGTGGTTGCCAAAGAGTGTGGCATGAACTTCATTAGTATTAAAGGCCCCGAACTGTTAAGCAAATATGTTGGCAGCAGTGAACAAAACGTCAGGGACCTTTTTGCAAGGTATTAGATGTGACCTTTATTTTCAAAGTAATATGGTTTTTAAAACCAAGGGGGAGTACTCATATATTGTTAGAACAGGAGCGCTCGGGTTACTTTTTTATGGTCTAGAAGTTGAGCAACATCCATTTTTTGGGTCAGTAGTATATAAAAATACTTTTTTGGTTCATTACACCGTGGCTCATTTATTGGGTATTGAATGTGAGAAAATTTCAAAGAAAGAAAAGAAATTGCAAACTCTCTTGTGCCGAAGGAAGAAAAATTATCGAGGAATCTTATCCTGAATATATTTGAGTACCCTCCCCCTGGTCCTAAGACTTAGTGTTCTTTAAACTGCATACATGTTTTATTTCTTCATGATGAACTTTACGTTTCAAACTCTAGAGTCTATGAAATCCGTTTTGCCTATTTGATGTTAGCAGCTTTTGGAATCTTGAATATGCCTTTTGGAAAATTACTCATTCTTTCGTATTTATTTTAATTTGTTTTCATCTGCAATTCTTGAAAAGGCTTAATTTCTATTAAATATCACCATTGGATGCGTTGCTATCCGTGAAAGTGTAGCTTTTTTGCCAGGACCTGTTGATACACAGAATGAATGATGCTGTTTAGACATGAATATTCACCTTCATACTTCGAAGATTTATCTTTATTTCTCAGCCGAATTCCTCTCGTTATCTCTAATCACAGGGCTCAAAGTGCCAGTCCATGCATACTTTTCTTCGATGAATTCGATGCACTTGCTCCAAAACGAGGCCATGACAATACAGGAGTAACTGATCGTGTCGTTAATCAATTGCTTACTCAATTGGATGGCGTTGAGAAGTTAGAGAAAGTTTTTGTGCTTGCCGCCACCTCCAGACCGGATTTGATAGACCCGGCTCTATTAAGGCCCGGCCGTCTTGATAAATGTGTATACTGTCCAATGCCAAATGCGGTATGTACCGGGCAAATATCGTACCTTTATAAAATAACGATTGAATGAGAAATATCATTACGAGCACCAATTATGCATTTATAATTGAAAAAGCACTTGCTCATTTTTTATGACAATTAAGTATTTGTTTGATCAATATTCTACAGGTCCATGCAATAAATGTCAATGAAATTGTGTGACATTCAAAATGATTAGTTTAGAATACCAGGGCTAGAAATAAATTTCCCAAGATTTTACGCAACATTCTTTAGCAGAAAAATGACCTACCGAAATGCCTAAATCTCTTCATGCATTTCAACGTAACCTATCCATTTCAGACGAACTGTGGCCCACTCTGCCTACTTACGTATCTACCTACTCTTCAAAGGTACCTATACACGCATTCTCTCTACCGAGCTACCTACCTACCTACTTTTCCAAGGTACTTACAAACCTACTCTTTTCTACCGAGCAATCTTACTCCTCCAAGGTACCTACCTTCCTATTTTTTGAGATACCTTTATACTAATCGAAAGACAAGATACCATCAACTGATAATAGGGCTGGCGTTTGTCAGGAGAATTGTGCATATATTGGTTGCTTACAAAATGTTTGTAAAGCAGATTGAATTCCTAAAATGAAGCACCGATCATAAATATTTGGTGTCAAAATTCGCAAGATATTTAATCTTTATTTACTGAGACAGTTTTATTTTTATCGACGTTGTAAAATCCAATTTTACGAAGTTATGAATTAAAAAAAAGCTCAATAAACTTCACGCTTTTACATTTAAATATACTGTTTGATTGATATAAATAAAGTTATGTTAAGGTGATATCGGAGAATTCCCATAGTAGATATCTTTATAACAAGTAAACAAGAATGCAAAATCAGCTTTGATGTTTTGTTTGAAATTGTAGTGGCCTATGCCTCCAAATTAAAATATTTTTATTGTGGCCATTTTTGGGTTTCAGCCGAAGGACCAAGCCTTTTTCTCCTACAAAGCAAAGGCAATCGTCTATGAAACTGAATAAAAAGGAATTTGACAGTAATGACATGCTAGCTTTGGAGTTGTCGCTGTACTTCTTGGTTGTCACAGTCAAAATGGCGTTGTAATCTGAAACCACTTTTCTCTTGTAGCATGACCGAGTTGAGATTTTCAAGGCTTTGAGCATAGACCTGGAAATGGATCAAAATATAGACATCAATTCACTCAGTAAGAACACAGAAGACTTTTCTGGAGCCGATATTAAAGCACTACTATACAACGCCCAACTCACTGCCATTCACAAAAAGCACCCGACGATTATTGCTAAAGCTCTTCAAAATCCTGAAAAGATGAAGGTAAACTGATGCAAATATTTCAAAGTTATGTTAGTTATGCACTAAGAAATGTGCAAATTGAAGATAACCACGGTTAAAGGTATAAAGTAGATTTTAATGCATAAAATGACCTTCCATTCCCAGGAAATCCAAAATTTGATTTGAGTACACAAAAAGTTGGCAAGAAACTCTAGAATTTGCATAAGCAAACTCTGAGGCAGAGCATTTGTAGAAACCTCTCTCTCAGCAGATCTGCTCTCAATCTTTGGTTATTAAAAGGATGTTTCAATCAATTGTTTGACGTCAGTGGCTTTAGTGGAGTACAATTGTTGACTAACATCATTGTTCGGTCTTGTGACCAAGTAGTTTTGAAACGGTTGAAGTACTGTATGTTGTTGTATGTTTCCACTCTTGTTTTGTAGCCTATACTTTTTGCTTTATATGCGAAATACATTTATGTTAAGAATTCAACTTAATATTCATGCTTCTTTAATTTACAATACAAGATTTTCTGATTCTGTAACTAATCTTTTGGTGGTACAAAACTTGTAAATGGCTTTGAAAAAAGCAAACATTTAGTAAACTAAAGCTTTTCGTCTGACACTCTTCAGAGTTTAAAACGTCAGAACATAGATCGAAAAGTCTACGCTAAGAAATATATATACCCAGTTGTGGATCGAAATAGGCCAATCAGAAACACGAGCACATGACTGTAAAGGTTGACCAATCAGTGCCGCTTGCCTATAAGAATGTTACCAGTTGAGTCCTAAGGTGAAAACGAACTCCTTTTGTCTACACAGTAGCGGTTTTTTCGTGCTTATGATAGATTCTAAAACTGCTAGGTGGAACGACGATCGGGCTTTACCAATAATCCGAAACATGTCGCCATTATAGTTTTTTGCACAATCTGGGTTTTTGTAGCAAATGCTGCCCGAGAGCAGAATCGCAGGTTTTAGTAGTAATTTTGGATTTGCACGACCGAGGTGGCTGTTCTCTTTGAGGATGTGTTTTGTTTCTAATATTAGATGGAACGTGTTGTTTTATCCTATCCTCCAATCTTTGGGTGGTGCGTCCTACGTAGCCAGAATCACACTGGCACGTAAATTCATAAACAACAGAACTTTTTTTTGTGGCAGGAACGCAGTCCTTTTGAATGGACGGAAGGGCCTTTTTTGTACTGTAAACAACACGTGGGTTAACCGCGAAGAAACAATTTGTTATGGCCTGTTTTATTTGGCTTTCAAAACGTAGGGAGCTGTTACCGATCCAGGGTAGTTTTAGATAGACCGGGCACTTTTGAGGACCAAATTTCACGTCAGCCGAGAAATTTCCTATCTTCTCCTTAATGTAAACTGAAATAACATCTTCTGGATAGCCGTTCTCCAGAAAAATCTTAGTTAGTTTTTCAAGTTCCGAGTCGAGTTTAGACTTGGAACAAATCATCAGTGCCCTATGTGTAAGCGTTTTGATGAGGCTGATTTTTCTTTGTTTTGGGCAAAACGAACTCCATCGAGTGTATAACCCCGAAAAAGTGGGTTTACGGTATACACTGGTGAAAAATCCAGTGTCAGATTTTTCAACCAAAACATCCAGAAATGGCAAGGAGTTATTTTCTTCCTTTTCAAATGTAAAATTTAGGGCTGTGTGAAGACCATTAAGGCGTTTTAGGAAAATATCACACTCAGCCTCTGTTTTGAAAATAGTATATGTGTCATCCACATACCGAAAATAGACACCTGGCTTTTGGTCGCAGTCAAACAAACGCTCTTCATGAAAGCCAACAAAGATATTGGCCAAGGAAAGTCCCAGAGGGCTACCCATAGCGACACCATCCTTTTGTTGGTACATTTCATTGTTAAAGCTGAAATCAACTGAACGTGTTGCAGTTTCCATCAGTTCGTAACTCTTCTGATTCTGTAACTCTTATAGTGGGGTGTGTTTATAGATAATTTTTAGTAGTTTTTCTCGTTTTTCTGTAGCAGAATGCGATCTAAGTTTGAAATAATGTAGATGTCGTCATTCTAGTAACAAAAATAAATTGATTTCAACTTTATTGATTTTATAGCAGAAAGAAACTAAATGTTAAGTTGCTTAAGTAAAGGAAACAGTGCTTTTGAGACCGCCAATTTAACAGCGTAACTTGAAATAGTGACAATTGACACTCATAATGTAATTGCAATGATTCACTAGTATTGCTATCAAAATCTATATAGTTGATATCACTGGAAATCTATTGCCATTGATATCATAGTGTTTAACAGAGGCAAAGATTTCATATAGTTTTGCATATTGCTTCTAACCCTTTTAGATTTCGGACGAGGATCTTTCGATGAAAATATCTAATGATGACATCACAGAGGCTTTAAAAGAAACCAGACCATCTGTTTCAGCTACCGAGATGGCACGCTACGAGGTCATGTGAGTATTTCTTCCAATTCTTTTTTTGATCTCTTAACTACACTGCTAGTAACGCTTGCAAGAAGATTCGCCTCAGATTGTGTATAAACTTCATCTGCTAGTGTGTTAGGAAGCTTGTAGATCGACCGAAATATCTTGTATGTAATAAAAATAAACATAAACCCAGCCACTTGTGCACTGCAAGATTAATATCGCTGAATGAGATATTCGTTTGCTTTTAGGCTTGCGTATAAAATTCGCTTAATTTTGCTAAATGTTTCGTTTGCATTATCTTGATCAAGCAAACTAAAGCTGTTGTATCTAGAGTGAAACCTTTATAAAGCGGACAGTTATGGGGCGTTATTGTACGCTGTAGACGGAATGAGTTGCTTTTGAAGCCTACTTGTTCAAGCCTTGACCACAGGGACAATCTTTTGCACCAAAAGTTGGTTTTTCGTTATTAAGGGGTGTTCATAATTGAAAGGTTTCCACGGATTTAAGTTTTACTGCCTGGAGATTAAGTCGCGAAGCAATATCTTGATGAAGAATATGGCCTACAAAGGCACTTCTCGTCAATCCATGTTTCTGCAGGTAGCCAGAGTCTCTGTGTGTTTTTTATGGCACGATTCGTTCTCTCCTCTACTTTTCGATTGCTTTACTTTTTGTTGTTTTATTATTTTTATTATCTATTGTCTGTTCACATTTTAAATTTAATATTATTCAAAACTGTTAAGGCGCTGTTCTTTCAAATTGTCTACAAATTGTCTGATGAAATCTAAATAGAATCAACCCCAAGCTTCTTCATAAGACACGCTAATCTTAAAAATCACGCATTGTTCCTATCAAATGCTACCTGCTTTGTCGATAAAATGCCTAAAGCCTAAAATAAACTGCAACTAAAAATACGATCTGTTTGCAAACGGCGTGATAAGAAGACACAGGTCTGGAACTGTTTTTTACATGGATTTCATATTGCATGGTTTTTGTCATTTTAAAAATGACCCAGGACATCATCTTGTTGGCTTACCTGGAGGAAGCAAGGATTTGGAAATAGAAAACCATTACCCTGAGTGGATAAAACTATCTTATTGTAGTCTATAGACAAATCCTGCACTAATATATGTAAGATGTTACCGACACTTTCCAGTTACATGTGGCAAATAGCAAAAATGAATTGCTCCCTGGAAATAACGTAAATTCGACAGTGGGGATAAATGAGCACCTGTTTAGTATTGGTATTTTTTTCGCGATAATCGTGAATATGGACCGTCACTATGTCCCAACAAGAATTAAAGTTGTCCTCTGTTCTTAACACATTCTACATGCAACTCTTTACACCCTAATTTTCAAGGATTCATCTACTTATTCATTATAATTTATAACAAGCTAACACCAAGATTTTGTGTGAGGTTTCATCACGAATGTTTTGCTTTTGTGTTTTACAAATATGGAACCTGTATATCTTGTGCTTTTGCCAAATGTGTATTAAAGTTAATGCTGCTGTTACTTGATTTCAGTTTCAGGAATTTCAATGGTTCAAGGAAAGGGGATTTAAGAGCAGAAGAAATAGACTCAAGAGTAACTTTAGCTTAAATGACATACCAAGACAAACAATTCTGGAATGTTCGTATTGTTTATATTGAGACACAGGAATGAAAACGTAAGTTGGCAAGATTATTGCGATTATCAGGATTTATATAGTCCAACTGAGAAGCATCTACGAGATTACAACTGTTTTATTCATTGATGCCGTAAACCAGATTATAAACAATAACATCACGAGGCTGGAAGTATTATATTCAATGTTTTGAATGATCAATGCATTGAAACTATTTTGTCTTTGTGATTTGTCAATTTTTAGACTTTGTTGTAGTCTATTCTCCCTTACATAAAATTTCATGACAGCCTCAGGTAGTTACAATTATATAGCTGTATCGGGTGTTTGTTAATTTTTGCGATACAAATATCAAATATTTGTATCGCCTGCTAGATGATTTGTATTTATTCACAAGTTTTCCTATTTGCAAAAAGATTTGGCATTACTTAATATTGAGATTAACCCCAGTCCAACCCTTTGATAAAGTTTCTTAATCCAGTATGGTTTGAAATGTCATATTTTATATAGGATTAACCCTGAACATTACTAAAAATCTGTTGTTATGCAGCCGGTATCTGTGCGACCTTTCACATTAAACATGTTGAAATCGAGATACGTATCCTCCAATGAATGAAAATTTACGTTTACCTGTCTGTCATAAAGTGCTCGATGCCATATAGCCAGAGCTGTACACGCTTTTAGTGCAAAGAACAAGGCGGGTCTAAGCTGCTACTCGGAGTTAAAAGCTTAATGCGGGTTGCCTGATGATCGAATTTAACGTGAAACTCGCTGTAGCAATTTAGAACCGTCCTATTTTAAGCAATCCAGAAGTACACAGTTCCCGTGTGCAGTTCATTGTCAGCCTTGTATTAAATTTGTGGTATCATTAGCATCCAGCATTGTTACATTGATTACTGCTCCAAACGTGTTTAGTTCCGAATATCAGAAGACAAAACATAATTTCGTGGAGGCAAGTGCTATGCGCTACAGTAAATCATTCATTCCTAAAAAATTTTAAGGAGTTTTCTGAATTTAATTTATGACCTGAAGAAAGACCAGCGATTTTAAGCTTGTACCTGAACTGTTTAATTCTTATGTTATTTGGTGTAAAGAACAGGATGACTCTAAGTTAAGTGAATAATTTTTTTTTCTTTTTCCAACTCATGGATTCCAAAAAATCATCTTATAACAGATGTGGGTCGCTGCAGAGGTGCAGCACCACGGTAAATGCGCCCCAAACAATAAGAAGGAAACTTGCCAACCTCGCCTCTTTTTAGAGCCGGCTTAACTCGTGTTCCAGTGATTCCGAAACGAGGACTTGTAACGAGTCAATTGTGTCATGAAACAGGGTTTACTTGAAGTGATTTTTCCCATGACTTGTTTCAATTGTGCTTTTGCTTGAAAGGTATCCTTCTAGACCCTTTTATTCAACTGAACCTGTAAAGAAGCCTTTTAAAAATGTCAGAAGCACGTTTTTACAAATGGACTCTAATTTTGGTCAAAGTAAATCTTATACTCATTAGTTTTACATAAATCAAACGACTTGTCCTTCTAATAGTTTAGAAAAGTCATAACTGCTCCTTGTTTTGGAAAGTCTCAACTGCTCGTGTTTCGTTTGCTTTCATCAGCGTCGCTTCACTCGTTTCTTTGAGGTGTTCGCAGTCTTTGTTTTCGATGGCCCTGAAAAACATTTAGTAGTTACAGGTAATGTTCATCAATCATTTGTCATTGCTTTACAGGAATTTGAATTTACAGGAAAAATACCAAATGTAAGGTCTTTGTAGTTAATTTTTAATGTTAAATTTGTAGTAGAAACTTTTTCATGACTAGACTGTGCACAATTTCAGGTTTGATTTCCATTCCCTTTTTGGAAACAACAAATAGGTATCAATTTTGAGGTGGCAGACATCGACTGCTTACAACAAGTTAAAAAATGGGCTTTTATTTTAAAGTCGAACTAGGCAAATAAAAAAAAATTGAATAAAACAATAAATACTTAACAGTTAATTCTAATTGCACGGCATTAGTGCTTCCATAGGAGGTAGACGGCAAGAGGAAACCCGGCTCAAGGCCAATAGAAAATACGTTTGGATGCTCGCTTATTTACTAGTTTTGTTTCTCGCTTATTGGTTGATTCTCTTGCCTATTGACTTGATTTGCTTTCATTTTTGTTGACTTTTGCCTGATCTTTCACATTTGGAGGGGGAGGAGGGGTGTTTATTCATTAATTGATTACATGTTTGTTTTGTTTGTTCGGTAGGGGTATGCTTGTTTGCGTGTTTGGTTCTTTGCTTGCGTGTTTGCGTTCTTGCTTTGCGTATAAGAGAGATGTAACGATGAAACAAATTTTTTTTAGAAAGTAATCGGAGTTTTGAGGAACTTACTACACATTCGACACGTTACTGGACAGTGTCTCTCCATAAATGCTTTGTTATGACCGCCAATACAATCCACATAGAATCTTGGACAGAACCTGTATTTATTCTTGCATGCTACGGAGAAATACAGAATCAGAGTTTAGTATTTGATTTGAGTATGCAAAACAGTGAAGCCTCAATGTAACGGACACCGTTTTGACCAGTATAATAGTCCGTTTTATAGAGGTGTCCATTGCATAGAGGTTCTTTCAAGAGCTTTTTGACCATTAAGGACAAATGCATCTGATCGTTGTTGATAGTCGTCCGTTGTAAAGATGTGCCCGTTGTATAGATGTGCCCGTTGTATAGAGGTGTCCGTTGTATAGAGGTGTCCGTTAATGGAGGTTCCGCTGTACTGTTGTTCTGGTGAGTGAAGAAACAATTGGATTGAACGGTTAATACGTAAATTCAAGAAATGTTTGTAGCCTCCATGTGTCTTCTTTTCTATCGAGAACATCCGATGTCACGAAAATGCATAGTATAAGGTCAAAGAGACACCCTATTGAACCCGTAAAAATGATAAAATATTAGTATGTTTGTCAGGCTCCTTATGTGAACAAATAAAGACTGTCAAGTGTTTAACAGTTGTTGCCGTTTTAAAAGTAGTGAATACTACGGCAGTACCAGAGACAACTAAGGCCTGAAGTTGAGAGCTGGTGGTCCCCAAAGATTTCGAGACATTCGTGGATATGAAGGTCAAAATAATTCTCAGTTTTTCTCACAGTATTAAATTCTTCAGGAGACCCTTGGCCAGCTTTTAGTTGTCTTACCACAATATAAGCAGCTAAGCCTAATCGCCATGTCTCTCTAAACATGGCCTAGTCCATATTTTTATGTCGAGATCTTCTTTACTATTTATCAACGTGGTCTGGTCAGCTTGACTACGTCAAGTCTTTGAGACAAAGTCAAAAATAGCTATATCAAGATGTTTTTATCGGCGATTTTACTCCCAGATTTATCTTTAAGCTGCGGTTTCCGACGAATACTCCCAACATCACTCTATTTAATTCGAAGATTCTCCCAAACGAAGCAAAGACTTATTATCGAGGCTACTTACGCCTACAGCCGATGCCCGATGGACCTAACGCTTTGGTGACTTTGTCCCAGCAACAACCAAAAGGACTTGATGCACAGGCAGACTTCTTTGGAGGAGCAGACGCTCCTATAAAGAAAATGAAATAAGTTATTAGATTTTATTCCTTTTTTCAAGTAACAAATCGAAAGAATTACTTACGATTAGCTGTGATGCTAGATGGCATACCCTCGAATTTGGTCAAGTCTTAATAGCCTCAAGGGGCAAATGAGGATTTTGAGGTATGTTTGCTGTTTGAAACAGAGGGAAATGGGCTCGGTTTGAAAATTACCTAACCGTGCAACTGATCTATATGAAAGACTGGATGGAGCTTTTTGTTGTCTTAGAACAACAAAATTTGAAGCCTTCCCAATTTTAAACGAAAGAGGACTCCAAACAGAAGCGGAAAGGCATTCTTCAAATACAATGGTCATGGATAGGCGAGGGCCGCAATGTTGTGCATGTGGATGCCGAAAAATAAAACGACCAAAGCAGATGAAAAATTCTTAGAAGTGATAGTTAAGGAAGGCCCTCTCTTCGAATGGGTTGTTCTGGGGCTCTCTTTTCGGAAGGTGGCACCCTTGTCACAATAAAAGCTCGATTCAGTCTTTTTTTAGGTCAGTGATCAAGGCAGTTGCAATTTGATTTCGGAAGTTTAATAGATATGGTAGGACACACCTCAGAAATTATTTAGGATTACCCCCCGCCTGAGAGTCGTCTTACAAAATTTAAAATTCATACAGAGAAAAAAGCTCTTGCACAGCGTTCAATAAGCAAGCATTTTCATAATTTTGCAGTTCAGTACTGAACCCTAACACAAACCCTAGACTTATGTCCCTTCTTGTCTTTACGCAGCTTAGATCGGGGCCCTTAAAAGAGAGTTGCTCAGCTGATGTTTGAAGCAAGATAAAGATGGCGTAGTTTTATTTGAAGCAAAATAGAAGCAACATGATAGCAAGAAGTCGAATTTAGTTAGTTTGCCATTAACAAGATAACTGTGTTTTTCTTTGCACAATCCTCCGCCCTTGACTAGGTTCCTCTACACATTTCTCCAGAGGCATCTTTGGTTAAAAGCGTTTAAAGCGCTTTTTCGTGAGCTTTTTGAAGTCAGCTCTGTTCGTTTACACTCGAGGACTGGCCTCGTTTATAATATCATTGCAAAGAATCCTGATTTACATTTGTTAATACTAACCGCAAAATCCACAGGATTTTTTACAAAGCTTCTTCAAAACCTTTGGGTGAGCTTTACAAGCTCCGTACCAGACCCATTTTCTGCACAAGTCCTTCAGTACATCAATGCAAACGCCATCTATTTTTTGAAATAAAAAAATTAGTTTTTGAGTATTTTAATTTTAAGAATTTGGGCAATTACAGAATGTTTATAGGTATACATGAAACAGTCTAACACAGGGGCGTTGTGGCTCCTAGAAAAGGGCCGTGAGAAAATGATCATAAGGGGGCCCGCTCTTTTGTATGACATCTCCAATCACAAACCATAGGTCGCTAAAAATGGTACACCTGGAAACCATGCACCTACGAAAAATTAAAAAAATGCCAGTTTTTACCATTTTTTAAGGTTCATTTGGTATATTTGTTAGGATGTATCCCCTTTCCTCTAACCATAGTCTTTGCAAAAAATGTGGAACAAATCCAATGCTGAAGTGCACACCTGACACAAGCAGATACAAACATAAACGCGACAGAGCACTTACGTGCACTGCGAGCGAAGCAGGCAAAGAATTTTTGCGCCCACGCCCTTTGAATTAGTTTGAAATGCATTTCAGAATGTTTTTTGCAGTTGTTTACCACGTTTTACAATTTTTTAAACACACATTGTTGCGTTTCGTTGAATTTCAGTTCTTGAATTGGAATTTCATGCTTAAAGAGGCCCCCTAGACCTCGAGACCCTGGGGCTGCTTGCCCCTCTTGATGTCCGTGAATGGAGGTTTGATCACATTAGGCAATACATTAAATACAATGGTAGAATGAAGTTTTGGTTGACAGTTGCAATATTATTATTGGGAAAATATTGGAGAAGAATGTCTCCTCAAATCAAGAATTCTTCCTATTTTGATAAACTCTTTATGAATACTTACTGCAATAATTGCATGTCTTCTTGCAACTTTGTGACAAACGAATGTGGTGCGATGAACAGTACCCTTTAAGCCGTTTGCATATTCTGCTACCTGCTCTGTCATAACAGCCTTTGGACTCTACAAGTACGAATCATCTCACAATAAAACGATATTTAGAAAGCCAAGGTAACTTTGAAAAGTATGTTCATTTAAAACAACGCGTAGAAATTCAAGGCCACATGAACCACTTTGCTGATTCACCGAGGTCGCCATCTGAAATTTAAAGCTATGCAGTTTCATTATTGTAGCCCGGGAAATCGGAACCAACGGGACAAGAGAATCGTACACCAAATCTTTTTTAATAATGTTCCTTTTCCTAGAAGTGGTCTCTAAATAACCTTTCGGAAAGTGCCTTTCTTTTTTGGAACAGAGTGCCTCTTTCTACTTGTGCTTCTCGAGCTCCATTATCCTTCAAAATCTCTGATTGTATCTTTTATCATCAAATTTCGGTCAATATTCTTCACAGGAAGCAGTAAGTTATCAGCTTAAACACATTAAAAGTACAAGGTAATACATAGATTTGTATCTGTTCTCATTGTCTAGTTCATTGCTGTACGAAACTATTACACTTTAGAATGGATAGCCCTTTAAGAATGGATATTGCAACATCCCCGAAGAAGTAAGTTTTTCAAAGAGATTTCGTTTATAGACCAAGATTTCTGATTTCTACAACACGTATCCTACTTATTCAAAATCGTAAAACTGCTTATTTGACGCAAACTTGTTTTACGTATAGATAGAAACTTCTCGTAGTTTCATGACTGTACATGATATATGTTACTGGTCATGTTGTAATGGTTCCAATACCTTTGTTAAAATATTTTTGCCTTTAAAAAATATTCAAGAATAAATAGTGATTATTTAAGATCTTGGCTTTACTAATGACATCTTTGTGTATGTGTATCTATGGCCGTGTCGTCTAAAAAGGAAAACAGCTGGTGTTTTAAAAACATTTAGCTGTACTAACCTGCATTTGAAAACATTAAGCATGCAGTCAAAGCTATCATTGCGAAAAGACAGAATCGAGTAATTGCTGGCTTTTCCATGGTTCACCTTCGATGGTTGTCAGGCTGGCCAGACTGTCACGTCGATCTATGGTCCACTCCGCTTGTCCACTTCCTATAGCTTTTGCCAGTTATGACCTATGCGTTTGTCGAGTAATATGCTTATATTGTCTTCATCTATTTAAACTGTGGTAGACGCTCCAGTCTTTTTGCGACCAATCACCGACAGAGTTGGTTCACAGTCCTCTGAAATTTTGGTTGGATCTCAAACTAATACCGAAATCCCCTTTATTTGTTCACTGGGTTTTCACCTTGCTGCTTAATGTCATTGTAATCTGAACACTTCTTTTTGCATTATCAGCGTCGTTCAAAGCTGAGGGAATGTACTTTTACTAAGCGAATTTTTGATCCACTGAAAAAAGGAATCACCACAGAATTTCATGCAAGAGGGTATGGTTGGGCGACTTTGTTGCTTGAAATGTACTTCTACCACTAAGCTACAGCTACTACCAGATTTAGGATAATATTTGGCATTCAAATCAGATTTGCTAGTGGCGTTGCTTCAAGGTAGAAAAGGCTCAGTTGCAAAATAGTGCTTACTGCATCAAAAGTTAAACTTAAACCTGGATCTGCAGTCCTATTAGATAAAAGCAATGACCAAGTAATGAGAAGCAAGAGAAAATCCTACATCCAAAAGTTTCTGATGCGAAGACCCATTTTTGATGGATTCAAGGAGTTTAACTGCAAATCTTAATTTGTGGCTTATATGTAGGCTGATTTATTTGTACCCAAGGATATATTTAATGAGAAGCTCATTTGTTGGGGGGGGGGGGGGGGGTGGGGTACATTGTTTAAAAATCAGGGAATTTTCGATAATAAACAAAAGCAAAATAAAGCCCCTTTTCCTGACATTAAAAGTGCTATGCCCCCCATAGACTTGGATGATTACCTAAATTCAAATTAGTTGCATAGTGACTTAAATGCATAATGCAGTATCATCTGAAAAGCTCTCCCTTTGCTGGATTTTTCATCGCAATTTTGTGCCTAGTGCTACGATAGTGCTTTGTGCTTTGTGCTTTGTCAAAACTTCCGTGATATAAAAATAATTGACATGTAAACCTGTTTCTCAGCAAGTTCGTTGTCAAGAAATCATAAAATTTATAGTTATTTTGCCCATGTTTAAAATTTGACTGAACACTGAGTTAAAAATTGAATTTACTGTGCCTCGTATTCACTTCCAAACAGGGAGTCAAACAAAATATTTTAAATTCAAGCATAATGGCCTCTACACATGGCAAAGTAAAGTAAAATCAATATTTCATCGAAAAGAATTATACAAAACCAAAAGCAATAATGTTAACTTACTCCGATAAAGTTATTCTTGCGCCAATGGTTCGCATTGGAACATTACCATTTCGACTTTTATGCCTCGACTACGGAGCAGACATTGTGTATTCGGAGGTAGGAAGATGCTAGTGTAAGAAGTAAGAACCGCAGGATCTGTACGCCGGATTCTGTGAATCTTGCACTGAGTATTATATTTCATTTATTTTGAAAATTTCTCTCATTACATTGGATTCTCGTGGCCGTTTTACTTTGTTCCTAAATTTTATCTAGGGAATGCCAACGCATTTAAAGACGTTTTCAGCCATAGTGGGCCGGAGCCGTCGCTCTCATGCAAATGGTACCCCTCATGTCAAATATGTACCTGACGTGTCGAATTTTCAAACGCGAAAAAAAATATAAAGATACCAATAAAACCAACAGATGATTATATTCATGTATTCGGCAACTCTTCTTTATCCGTTTTCACTTAATATCGGGGTTATTGCCGATCGTTTTCTGTCAATATTCAGTAAAGTAAACCAACCACTATAGGCCCGGTGAACACAAAACAAAGCTCCCACGACTAAGTGTCAGGGTTGCCACTGCATGAAAGCCAGATATACCTACAGCGCATGCGTTTTCTCCCTACTTTCACCCTACGCATTTTTCCGCAATTATCCCTACAAATCCCTACAATTTCGGAATTATGCCCACGAAAAGAACCCACATAATGACAAAAAAACTCAATCCGCTTTGCAACCTGTCTATTTTAATGAAGCTGTTATAACTTTAGAATGATAAAATATAATAATATGATGCAAGTAGCAGTTTAACAAATATAAACCAAAGGAAAGGCAATCAATCTACCCAATTAACACAACAAAAAGGGAAAGTTGCTTCAGGTAAATAGTCAGTCAAACTGTTCAATGTTCTCAACGTCTTCCCGGTCATTATTATTGTACCTTTCCATATATGACCCTCTGGCACTGGAATAGAGAGACGATAGCCTGGTACTAACTTCAAAACATCCAGGGAACCCTTCACCAACTCGGATTACGGCCTCAATCGTGCGGACTGCCAATCTGTTTCTCAATTTTGTTTTGTTGCAATTTATTTTAGAGAATGTTCTCTCTACAACTGCGGTGCTCTGAGGTAGAGCAGTTATCTCAAGCATAAAATTTCCGAGGGCTTCATAGCTTTCCATCTTACTTATAGCTTTCCAAAACTCTTCAATCTTTATTTCTTTTAAATTACCATCCATTACTTCTTCGTCTATCAAGAGTGAGCGCCATTGCCTGTCAACAGTTTGTTTGCATGCGCCTGCAATTCTTGGAAGGCATTGTTGCAGCACCGAAGCAGCATCAGGAGAAGATTTCCCGCATACAATTGCAGATTGATGAATGCTTGATAAAGCTTTGAGAACAGGATCTTCAATGTCGATGCGGGACAGGATTTGTTTTATGGCTTCTATAAACCAATCACGGCATCTGCGCAGAAAGCTTTCTTTCTCGTGTGGCTTCAGGCTCTTTATGGTCTCAACAGCTGAAATTCCAGGGAATACCTTTTCCAAGGGAACCCAGTTCGCCTTGTCTTCAACATCTAAATTCTTCAGATCTTTAAACGCAGCTCGATGCATAAAATTATTGCAGAACATTTTGAGAACTCTTGTCAATTCAGGAAGGAACCTGTGGAACTTGAGATCGTTAGACTGAAACAACATATTCAACCCAGATAGATCACCTAGGACATATTGCATGAATTCCAGAGTAGCTTGCATGTATGGTGATTTAATTGATTGTAAGATTCGATCTGCCTGTGGGTGCTTTGTCTCAAAGACCTCTGTGGTAAAAAACATCTCAATAGGCTTCCACTGAGCCAAAACTCATGTCACACATTCAGATACTGAAAGCCATCTCGTCTGGCAGGGCTTCAGAATATTCAGGGGCTCATAATTCAAGAAATGCTGAAACTCTTGAAAGGATTTTCTCCTGTTGGGAGAGTTCTTAAAATAGTTGTAGACATCATGAAGAAGCTGCTCTGATGACTTGGAAATTGTCTCGCATGCATGACTTGCAACCAGGTGAAACGTGTGACAATAACATTTTAGAACATATAGATTCGGTGCTTTATCCTGCATTCTCGTTAGAAATGAATTGTTTGCACCCTGCATCAGGTTTTCCCCATCGGATGCGTAGCCAACAATACGATCCCAGCCAATTCCATCATCTTTTAAGGCTTGTTCAAGCAGTTGAAATAAAGCCTCAGAGCCTCCATCAGAATCAACGGACAGCAATCGATACAGCCTGGTTGTTGGCATGCTTGATTCAGCATCGATAAAACGCACATTTACACAAAAAGTTTTGTTCATTGTAATATCAGTGGCCTTGTCACATAAAATCGAGAAGCCTTTTGCAGCCTTCATAGCATTTATTAACCTCTCATGGGCATCTACAGAAAGACATTCTGTCAATAAATATGTCCCTTTTGTGCGGTTGCATGTCATATCTTTGATTGCTCTTGAGTCATCAGCAATGAAATGCAGAGTTGGCAGTAAATGATCAAGAAAATTGAATGAAATGTTTCTCCTGGCTATCAAGGCAACAGTGTTTAGCTCTGCTGCCATCTTATCTTTGTTTTTAACTTCAAAAACATCACTTATTGCATGATTTGAACGTATTTGCTGTGCACGGCTCACGTGTACAGTGGTTTTTGAATGAGAAATCAGTTCCGACTTGCCAGCAACCAAGTCTCGATCGCAAAAGCAACAGTATGCCTTCGAAACACTCTTCTTTGAAAACGATAACCATCCACGTGCCCAGCTTTCTTTCTCCCATTCCCTACGGTACTTCTGACAACGGTGCTTTCGCTGTAGTTCTTTTGACATTGTGCAACGTATAAGTACGTGATCAACTCTTTCAATCAGATGCAAAACTGACTGTTCACCAAACCTGAAAACTACACTGCTTTTATTCAACACGAAATCGCATAACAGCTGGATTTTTTTATGCTGTTGCAAATTTCTCAGATGTTTATCCGAAAGGAAAAAGCTTATCGATTAGAGTAGCCATTAACGAGGTGTTGTTACTACTACCAAAGATGACATTTCCGTATTATCTTTTGTCGGAAAAAACAAGAGCCGCGATAAGGTATGGTCATGTAGAAAGAATGTGTTAGATCAAATTTGAATGCGAGATGCATACCAGGGAAAGGAATTTCATTGAGTTCAATGTTTCTTGTGCAAATAAAAATTTACCCAAAAAAAAATTCTTTAATCTTGATTATACCTACAACTTGAGCGATTTATACCTACATTTTGCATATTATCCCGTAGGTTTATCCCTACAACCTACAAAGGGCAAAAAATCCCTACTGTAGGTAGAAATCCCTACGAGTGGCAACCCTGCTAAGTGTCGAGTCTTGTTCAGAAAGGCAGGGGATTCCCTGTGTATCAGCAATGATTGCTGGGGGGTACGGTCAAAAATAAATCGAATTTATCTTCAAACACGTAATTCGAAGAAACGAAAACACTCAATGAAACGACATGTGCTACAAAGAATACAAAGTATCATCAAATACGTGTGTAATAAGATTGGTACCACATTATCTTGATCAAAATAAATCAGAATCTAGAATCAGAAATCGTTGCAATGAGTATAACGTTTTAAAATCGAACAAAATCCCCCTCTAAAATCCACTGCAATTATTTTAATTTGGGATTTGATTCGATAAGAATATTCCTGAATTATAAACTGCAGTATTGTTGATATTGCGGATTGCAACTTTTGGTTGACTTTTGCCACTTTTTCATTTTTGGTTAATAGCACATCACTCAGCAATACCCGGCTTATAATTCGACTCCCAAAACTTGCTCTCATTAATTGCCAGTGCTCAATATTTTATTAAGGAGATTTGAAATAAATGTAAATTTTTGCTCTCAAATTAGAAAATTATTCTATTAATTTTGAATTTAGACTGATAAAAAATTAAGACACTTGTGAAAGAAAAATGTAACTTCTAAGACCACAGTTCACACTCTCCTATCAAAAGTTGTTCAAATGGCATGAACAACAAATTTTGCTTGCAGTATGTAGCTGACCCCTCATTTTGAACATAAGTATAATACTGTAATAATTCTGACAAGGCTTACCTATATATCCTACCTATAAAATGTATACCAAAATGAAGAAACCTTGGATAAAGGCTGTTCTGGATTCCTTAAATAAGCTGTGGCTATATTATATGTTCTGGATCATATAAGCTGTGGTTTTTAAGCAGTATAAAAATATATAAGCTGTGGTTTTTGAAATAATTTTAATATAAAGTAAATCTTTTATTTTGTTCCTAAATTTTTTTGGCTTTTCAAATTGCATGTGTTTATGTTGGATTTTTCTTGATGCTTTGCTGATTATTTTGTCTTATTGAAATAATTCTTTCAGAGTTACTGAAATATTCTTTGAATACTGCTATTTATCAAAGCTGTGATATAATATATTTTCAGCTACCATAAGTTTGCACTTAAGCAATTTAGTATATTTTTGTTTAAAATCTCACATAATTATATTTTATAATTTTAGGAAATCATAGACTTTAAAATATTACATTCAAAGAGAATAAAGAATGGTTTGTAGCTGTTTTGGTTGCCTTTTGCTTTGTATACTTGTTATTTGATTTACAATGTTTACTTTTTTTATTGTGACCACAGGATTGAAAGGGATAAGTTCTTTAAATCTGAGTATAAAATACACTGGCCTTTTGTTAGAATTTAATTAAGAATAAAGTTTATATAAGAATAAAGAATAAAGTTATATGTATCTGCATTGAAAATGATTAAGTTATGTTCACATTTAATTTTGGCAGAGGTCCTTGGAACCATTGATTATGTTGCTCCAGATGGAACAATTATCTTCAGAACATGCTCTGCTGAAAAGGATAAAGTGGTTTTCCAGATGGTTTGTTCTCTTATCCTTATCTTAATAAAAAATGTAAAATTTAACAAAACATTGCCCAGATGAATACTTCTTCCTTATTACAATCACTCGCCACAGATGCCATAGTAATGGTTATAGCAAATGCAGAACATAATTGAATGTCTTTGTAAATAAATCTTTCTTCTGGTAATGAATATTTAACATTTTGTAAAAGTTGCCATTTAAGTGAGGGCAGTTGAATTGTTTTGAGATTATTTGGGCTCTCTCATGTGCCCAAGAAATTATTTTTTATTCTTTCTTGTTTAGATTCTTCCAAATAACTGGCAATTTATTTTAAAAAATATTACTTTTATTGACTAAAAGTTAAGAAATCTAATATATACCTGATTTGTATTTTAGGGCACATGCGATGCAAAAAGAGCATTAAAGGTTGCCAAAATAATGCAAGTTTGTTAATTCACTTTTATCATTTTATATTTATTATATAGCATTTTTTGGAGAATTAATTGATGGATAATGTGAGGCTTTCTGATTTATTTGCAATATTTTTTCATTTGTATTATGAAGTGTGCTCCATTCATACAACACCTTTTGTCCTAATTCTTTATCAGAAGTAAAAATATTGTCTGTTAAAATGTTTTGTATTAAATGTATCTGTTAAAATTTTAGTGAAGATGATGTTGCTGGTATAGATGTTAACATGGGATGCCCAAAGGAATTTTCAATAAAGGTATAACATTTTAATTCAACATTTCCCTTTGATTGTTTTTTCATCTCAAGGTTGTTGGGTTGTTGGAATTGACTATTTTTTCAAGTATTTATTTTCAAATTTGAAATTTATAAACAGAAGAGTAATTTAGTACAAGGTGCATGATTTTTGCTACTAAATAACAGGATAAGGATTACAGATAACAAATAATAATATTAGAGTGAAACTAAATGAATATATTTTAGCCTACATGGACAGTGTATATAAGATTTTACCTGTTATCAAGGATTATATATATCAATGCAACATACTTTGATAAGCCAAAATTTGATTAAGTTTTTGAAGGTATAAGTTGAATCCCAAATATCAGATCAGCCAAGGCTCTCTGAAAGTAGCAGAAGAGTTCTGCACTTGCCAACAAACCCTATATTCTCCACTTATTTCTTGTATCAAGATATATCAGATATTTTAAAGTTTGGTCCCTCTGCATTGGTTTCATATTTTGTAAAATCTTTGAAATTTGGCAAAATTTATTAACTTTATCCCTGATACTCATTGAAATCTTAATAATAAATGAATATAGAGTTAAATTATATGGACTAGATAGATGTTCCTCTAGTCTTAGAATGTCTCTTCAGGGTGGCATGGGTGCAGCACTGTTGGAACAACCAGAAAAAGTCAGGGAGGTAAGTTTTCCTTCAAATTTTTAAAAAAGATATTTATGCTTATCCTGAAATTGTCAAAATCCTCTTAAACCTCTACAATAAAATATTTATCCATGCTCAGCAGTCAATGCACTGATATTCAACAGACTGATATTTTTTATGATTACTGACATTTAAATTTTCTTACAGCTTTGGCAATTTCAATGCAATGTTTAAAACGTTCAGGAACAAACAGTGTATATATAGAATACTTGTTGGAAACTAGCTTTATCCAGCCTGGAATTATCATTTGTTTTTATAGCTTAGTGCTTTTTAGCAATACATTTTATTTTTTTTTTGCTGACTTTAGAAAAGATATCTTTTAAATTTGTTTTAGTTTGCTAGTTATCTAGTAATCAATATGAGTAGACATATTTGAACTGTGTTTTTTCCTATTCAAGTATTCCAGTTTAACTTAAGAATCTTTTCTTGCACTCCAACAGATTCTAACAACCCTTGTAAATGGTATCAAGAAACCTGTGACTTGTAAAATACGAATTTTACCAAATGTAAGTTTTTGGACGCCTTTTTGCTTATGAAATTTACAATTTAGAAAGAATAAACAAGTGTTCTGCGCTTATTTTATCCTTTTTGCTAATGTTTTGAGATAATTTTTAAAAGGGCCCTGTTCTTTAATTGTAAATGACACAGCACCCTCAAAAATTAGATTATCTGTTATATTACCATTAAAAAAAATTTTGCTTTCAACCTCAATTCTAGTAGAACGATAAAAGCAAAACGAATGCATTTAATCTTCTTCAAGAGATTGGAGAAGCAAGTTGGTGTATTGTCTAAGCTCTGTGAAGTTGAACAAGAATTTCTAGGTTATTGTACTTTTTCACAATAGCTACTACACAAAAAAATGTTTGGAAATATTATTAAAAAGCGGAATGTATTTACTTTTTTCACATTATCAAAACGACCAAAAAAAAAGGATCAATCAAACCTGAAATAATTTGAGTTTATAAAAGGCAGTGTTGGGATTTTTCAGCATTCTTAAACAGTGAGTGTAGTTTCCTTTGGTAATCTGCTTTAGCTCCTGGTGTTACTTCGCAGTCGTACTAAAAGCTATTATTTAAAGAGCGAATCGTACACGAAAACAATCTGAAAGTAAATTCAATCTGAAAGTTAACTTAATCTGAAAGTTAATTCTATTACAACGTAATGGCACAACAATTATCGGATCTTAATCTGAACATGCTTTGCAGCTTCCATCTCTTGGAAAATTCAATCCGTTTGGTTCCTTTCGTAATTTCTTTTTTCTTAACGTTAAAAGTGTCTTCCTTATAACTTTTTATGTATTTTTCAGCTTGAGGAAACTTTGAATTTAGTAAAGATTATAGAATCCACAGGAGTCAAAGCTCTTGCAGTCCATGGGCGGTAAGTAAAATTAGTTGCATTTTAAATGTTCCACGACTATAGAATTGTCTGTTCGATTATTATATTGTTCCGCTGGATTTTTTTAAAGTACGATTTGATATGGTGAAAACAGCTGCTCATTTATAAACACAATTAACTGCTTCCACGAAGTTTAATGAAGAATTTAAACCATGTAGAAACCATTGAAGTGGTTTCTTTTCATTGCAGTTTGTAAGTTTTCTGTGTTACGTCAGTTGGTTACTTTCAAGTAAATGTTCCAATTTTTATTTCATAACGTTATGATTGCCGTGTTTTCCCACTTCTACCTGTTCCATCGTCTAGATTCTAGAACATGCACTATTTTTGAAGCGTTTTAAATATATAAAATGATCTATAATAAAACGATGTTGGACAGTGTCAGAATACAGGCAACATTCATTGTTTGTTAGGGAGGCGAAATCTTATAATTTGTGACGCAACCCCCGTCTTTGAGTCAAAGAGCATGCGTAATGATGATTTTGTTCCATGCATATGCTCTTTTATCCAAGACGGGAATTGCTTTAGTCAGTCCTTTCTCTTTCATACTTTCTCTTGTCCGTTTCACCAGCAGATGTATTAATGGAAGCTCTTTGTCGACCCTTTTAACTATGACGGCAAATTATATCTGCTAACAAACTTGTAAAAAATGAAGCTCTTCAATTAAACATTCCATGTAATCTCGGGTGACTGAAGTTAATCAACTCCATTTAAAACTATTTTTCCAATTTCCTAATTTTATCAAAGTTTTACCAACCATTTCCCTTCTTTTTGGTAGGATTCGAACTCAAAGGTCGTCTCAGCCGTGCAACTATGACGTCATAAGCGAAATTTCAAAGTCTATCTCTATACCTGTCATTGCGAATGGCGGTTCTTTAGACGTTAAGAGCTTTGATGAAATTGAACGCTTTAGAAAGAATACTTGCTGTTCCTCGGTTATGCTAGCAAGGGCTGCAGAATGGAACCCATCTGTTTTTAGAAGACAAGGACTGTTATCAACGCAGAATGAGATCAAGGACTACCTGACCTATGCATTAATGTTTGATCATAATTTCCCTGGTACCAAGTATTGTATTTGTCAGCTTATGCATAAAAGCCTGGACACTGACGATGGGCAAAAATTACTCGCTTCTAAAACATTCGATGAATTATGGTATGTTTATTTAGTACAGTTTACTATTTGATAAAGAATTTATGAATATGTATTTTCAATTTCATTGTCCTGCAGAAGTTTTAAAAGTGCAATATTGTCGCTCTGTTATTATACGGACATATTACTTTGGCGATTAAGCATTTTGTTTATAAATTCGCTAATTGAGTTTAATGAGCTACGCTTGTCGTGAGTTTGTTTTCCGATCAAGAAACGTCGCTTATAAACATGTAGACACAATATTCTCGATAAGCATTTGTTTGCCTATGAATTATTCTTCATCTTAGCATATCACTAGAGTCCGCTGTAAGCATTTAGTCCTTTGAGATTTTACGGGAAGCCATCTTGATTAATAAAGCTATCTACCACATCATGATCCTCATTTTAAAACATGCTAAAGCTTTGCGTCTAGAACTCCCCAGGGTATAAAACTTCAAAACAATGATAAATAATTCTAATATATTATAGGAAATATTATGTACTCAGTTATGGATCGAATTGGACCAATCAGAATCGTTGGCACATGACTGTAAATGTTACCGTTTTTACTATTGAACATTTTACTAGGAAAATTTTCCGGTATATCTCAGTTGAAACTTGAAGAGAGCATTGCCCAGTACTTTGATTTCAATTCGCCTTAATTCTTTTCCATTTGTGTCCTATTTGTTCACTTGTAGCCAAATGTCACAATTTTTGGTCGGGCTTTCGACTTTTCAGTCAAGTAATATAAATTCGAGTATCTTTAAAGATGTGTTTTTCCTCTCCAGGTTAAAGGATATTTACGAAATGTGTCAGTTGATTTATCTTTTCTTATTTTTTTTCCTTTTAAGTGAAATTTTTGGGATGAAATCTCAACTGAACCAAGTTGTAGAAAAAAGGCGACGAAAACTTGGAGAAATTGAAGAAGAGGTTTGATGTCAATTTGTCCTGTCCCAGCAATTTTCCTTAGGGCAAATTGTTTCAAGTAGTGTGCATTTTGTACCTTTGAAAAGCCTTCTTCCTAGGACGATAAGAGTGCAAAACTGATCGCTTCTTTTCACTTCCAAGCAACATTTTCTTGTAATCAATGCTAAAAATTCAAAGTGAATATAAAAAATGAGAATCATCTTCACAGCTGTAAACAGCTAATAAAAATCTTTATTTGACGGTGTTTTAAAAATATGTTGCTTGATTAGGCCGTTGTGAGAGTTTTATAAGTTTTGAATGCCAATATTGAAAGGAGCTGAAGTTTTTCCTGCGATTTTTTTAAGAAGCTTGGCGATAAGACTATGCTATTTCAACCAATTCATCGCTATATGCAATCAATCAATTGATCAATCAATCAATCAAATTCTTTATTTATGTGTCAAAATATTAAGCAAACAAGCTAACTGTGGTACACAATTCTTTTATATCTTCGACAAAATGTTTGAGAGGAGTTGCAATTGACTTGTGTCCGTTGCTAAGGAAGTAACTTTTTCAAACACATACTGTGTATATTTGAAGCGCCGCCACTGATACCTTTCTATAGGTTTTCTGTTACTCGTTAATTATAACGAAAATTTTTGTTTCTAAGATTGAAAAAAGCATCGGATATGCTGAGAAAAGAAGGAAGACTGATGGATTTATTTGCAAAAATATCAAATTTAACAAGTATGTATGAGTTATTTTAATTTCACTTCTTCTTTTCTCTTTCTCGTCGTGTTTTTTTCATTCTTGACAGAAGGCCGGTTTACTTTGCGTTCTATCATAACTGTCATCAATCAAATTCTGATTTTAGGCACGACTTTCCAAAAACTATCACACCAAAAATGATATTGTTTGAACATACGAGGTATGATATTCTTTTCTGTTGCATCTTTTTCCGTTTATTTCTCTTGTAATTTTTCAATTTTTTTCTATGTAGCCTTATAACCGCTGGTTGGGCCTTTTATCATTTGCCTCTAGGAGGTTATTATGCCTTTAAACAAAGCTATTTTTAAGAAAGATCTCCAGGCGAAAATCCACTATCTGCGCATCAGCTCTAAATAATTTCTATTAAGGTATTCTAACTTTGGGTGCACGGTACAAATCAACAAAAATCGTTCCAAGCAGACACACTCCAAATAAACGGGTCATAATTCACCGCTCAACTTGAAAGGTGCTTTTTGTCGTAAGCCATGTTCGTGAAGCCAAAAGTGAAACGTGGCTCTAGAGTGAAACGTCGAGTACGGCCGCCATTAATTGGTTTAGTGCAAAAGGGCTATGAATGAAGATAAAAGGAAGATGCCTTTTTCAGATATTTTCAGCCAATAGAGACACACGCGCGCTCGTGGTTTTTTGGTACAAAGGTTCGTGGTATCAGCATGATTGTTAGTACAAATAAGTAACAATTTATCCCGCTGCTCTTGTTTTTATAATATCTATTCGATAGGTCATCCTTGATATTCTCATTACAATGCACCACTGAATACGTCAAATTGTTGCATATGATTATCGTGTAAGATGATTCTCTTTACGGATAGAGGATTTACTCCCATTTCATCTTATTGTTATCACATCATTCCATTTTAATAGCCATTTGCTGTTTGAATTGCAAACTGGGACATCCTTATCGGTGCACCACGTATTACTTCTCAGAAATTGACAATGACTCCACAGTTGTTCGGTTGAAATACGTTATCTCTAGAGCATATAATGTTCCCTGCGAAGAAGCCAGTCTTAAATTGGATACGTTACTTTCAGTTAGAATGGTAACGATTTAAGCATATGAAGAAGAAATTTAAATGATACTCCCTCTAATAGAAAAGATCAAAGATGAAGAAATTCACCGCTTTTGGAAAGCTTTTAAACGCAATAAAAATTATGAGGTTATTTTCCACAGATGCATTTTGTGAAAATGTTGTATCGCTTTGGCGCCGAAATACCTAAATAAGCATGGTCAATTCGAAAGATCTCTTGAGATGCCACTTCCGCACGGATTTTTCAGTTCTTCCATTGTGTTTTAGAAAGATAACACATTGAGTGTCGCAATAAAATATAGATTGTATTTCTATTTCTTTATTCATATACAATAAATACGGTGTATGTTATTTACAGTAAATATAAATAAGCTTTTTTTGTAGGAAATCTAATTTGCCGCCTCCTAAATACACAACGGTGAGTTTTTATTGTATTTTACAGCTAAGTGAATATAAATTATCATACATCTTTGAAAAGCAATATAGATTTGTTTTGTAATTTTGACAAATGTATGATTTCTGCTATCGACTATCAACTGGAAAGACATTTTGCCGATATACGATTCTATTCTCGTTTGAATAAAAATTTCGATTTTTTCTTTGTTAGCAGGTTCTATCGAACTTCGTAGGATCCTCAGATTATCCATTATTTATATTTCTTTGTCAAAATAACTATCAGATAGCAATAAATCTTTTGCGTAAAATACGAGAAAGCGATAAGCAATGTGGATTTAAAGGTATGGCAACGCCTCTAGTAACTGCGACCTATTTCCCAAAACTATTGTATCTTTCCTCTTTGCCCTTAGTTACTGTTTTTATCTAATGAAAGGCCTATCTAAACCACTTTCGTTGTAGCCGACTTCTGAAGAAGCCGACTTCTCATAAATTAGATATCCCTGAAGAAGCTGACACATCTTCTTTGAAAAAAGCTAACCACATAGAGAATTTCTCCAAACACAAGTTTTGAGATAAGATTTAGGTGTCTTTGAGGTTCAGATTTGGATGAGATTTTGACGTTTCTCATATCCTTTAAGACAAAGCTGATGACTCAACAATAAAAAGGTCCGTCGTATGCTTACAAATGAATGATTATGATCGAAGTTGTCAAGTCATTTCAAAAGTATCTGTGCTGTTAATATTAATCGGGTTCAACTATTTTGAAACCTCGCTTAGTCATTATAAAATACTTTTGGGGATTAGGTACCACGTATCTGGCCCTCAACAGCAGTTGCCAGACCTGGGGATGCGATCACATACAAGGTCCAGACCTCCACTTCAATTCAGGGCCCCTTCTTCCTACTCTTAAGTTCGTATTCATATCACAAGGGCCCCCTTGACCTTAGCAGCTACAGCATCCCTGGTAAAGTTATCGTCTATAGTCACATAATCAAAACCATATTTTATTGTGTGTTTTTTGCTGATTAACCCAACACACTTTGTTTTTTCATGTAGGTTTATACCCAAGTTTATCACTGCTTTTCATCACTTTACCTTTGTCATCTCATAGTAATTTTTGAAAATTTTTGTCAAGGAAACCAATTCAGATCGGCTATTCAAATCAGTACTGACAGTGGATGGGAGAAAATATGGTACACTGACCTGGTAAGATAACAGAGATTGCGTATAATGTTCTCTTTATCATATAATAATGGTTTTGTAAAAAGAATGCAGTGTTGATGGTTCTGGGAGTGCAAGACAGTGTTTATTGTAGAAGCGAGAACAATTTAGATGCTTTTGTCAACTTTGTCCAGTGCCAAATTAGAGTAAGGGATGGTTTGAACTTGCAATTTTACTCTTACAACTGAGCATGCAGGGTAGAAAATAGGCATATCTAAACGAATAAAACATTCTTTTTTATAAATAAGTAGTGACCCAAGCATATTAAAACAGTTGGTTCCAGCTTCTATACCTTGTTCTACCTTGTTTGTAACAGCAGTTTTTAGCAACCAGCCATTTACTCTACATCTCCCTGTAATTACGCCTCCCTCTATCTTATTAGGCATCGAAGAGTAAAATTCCGAAACATTTTGGGAATGTAAATTGTCAGAAAATCACGATAGAGTGGTAATGGGATCGTATTAATGACGGTCTTCCTACAAATTGAAATTTCGGATATCCTGCAAAATATGATCCTTCAACTCAGGAATTTTACCTACATATGGACTCTATATCCAATACTTATTTTAAAAAAAAACCTCTGTTTTGTTTAGCGCATTGCCTAGTTAGCTTTTTTACGTATCCAGTCACAGTGTAGATGACTGACCGATCCAGTGTTGAACAGAGATGTTTACATGGCTCGAGTATAGAAGCTGCAGGTATATCACCAGAAAAATCGATAAACCATTGCTAAATTCAATGCGGTATCTGCCGGCCACTAAGTCAAACTATCACCTAGTTCATATTATTCATTATGGTTCAAACCTGTCTACAAGTAACAGCTACACTTGTTTTTAAGAACAATTTTATAAGAACACGAGACTCAAAATTGATCAAAAGTTGAGAACAAACGAAGAACAAGCTAGGATGAGCTACTGTAAAATGAAGTTTCAAACAACGTTTCATCTCAAAAACGAGGATTTTCGCCATGTGTGGGTTCTTTTTCGGTGTATTTTGAAACTTGTCGGCAAATGAAGGTTGTCTCATTCACTTTGTTGGCAAATAAGGCCTGAATACCTTCCTCGAATGAAAAAGCTAACAATTGCGCTGCTTACACCATTTTAATCTAAGAACAAATTAAAAATCCAGCCTCAGATTTGTGCAAGAAATTAAGAACAGTCAGCCTGAACTTAAATTTACTGGTTCTTACAAAAAGAGGCCTGCTGCAAGTGTCGGTGCACTACGCTTATTCATATTTATTCTACGCTTATTCTTGTTATTGTTTATTCATATTTATTCGATTTTACATAGCTGACAGTATATACAATATAAACAGAGTTGACTTATCTAATTCGGATGAAATTAGAATATATACACAAAATCTACCATTAAATAGAATTAAACTACTGCAGGTGTTCTATTTACATTCTGGACCATTCTATGGTCTCATCCAATTCTATGGTTTGAAGTTTTCAAGTTTTCAGCGGATTTAATTTTGTTCGGTAGGCCATTCCATAATTGAGACCAAGCGGACTTCAGACTATTCGAACCAGTCTATTAGGTCTGTTAGGTTTTATAGATTCAGGATGAGGGGATCTCAAAATGTCATTATTAGTGTCTGATGATAAAAGGTATGAAAGCGATTATCCGCACCGCTATATCGTTAGTGAAGAGATGAACAGATTTTAGCAATAGATTAAAAATTATTATTACCTGTAAAACACTAAATTTTCTGTAAGGAAATTTTCTGATAGGTTTTCTGTATTTTTTTTTAAGAAACTCGGTAGCTGAGCTTCAGGACAGTTTTTAGATATTCTCAGAACTAGCTCAGGAATGTTATAAAAATGTTTACACGACATGAGAATAAAGCCGTTTTATTTCTTATGAAAATCAGAAATTCTTTTGAAAGCCTCAAAATCAGATCTTGGAAAATCTTTTCCTGAAAGCCAAGCATGTATGCTTTCTTAGTCACTTTAAGATTGAGTACATAATTGGAAATGATAAGAATGAAGTGAATTTAATTTTAAGAATTCCAAGAACGTGCCAGAAAATTTCGAATTGGTTGGTAGAAAGGAAACTTTTTTCCATCAGTTTAACCAGACATATCAGAAAGCCGGTAAAAAAGCATATTTTGAAATCACCTAATCATTCAATAAAACTGCAGAAGTAACGGCAGATGAACATAAGATTATTGAAAGGATGGCACGGAATAGCGAAAACGTGGCTTCTATTCTATACATAAATGAAAATAGGTTTGAAGCATGGAAACATAATATTTTGATATTCAATTAAATGACCCAAGCTCACTGTGTTATTAAGTTTGAAACATGAAGATACACAGCTCTCTAATTACAACTAGACTAATTATTAGATTCCATATTATTGAATATTTTAGGGAAAAGAGCAAACAGGCCACCGAACAAGCCGCTGCGATGGTTTATTTAAAACATCATGGATTGTCGGACGGTAAAAAAATTAAATAATTTGCGTCTTCTACCTGTTATCATTTTAGTTTCAATCTATACTCCATTATCCTGTTGAATAACAACCGTACTCAACTGTGAAGAAGTTTCCAATTTTATCACAATGTTGATTTTAAATAGCAATACCAAAAGTATGAACGCAATTAATAATGTAAGAATTGGTATTCTCATGAAATTTAGGGTCAACAATTAACTCAAGAATGCAAAAAATCCTTCCTCACAGATTGTACCAAATCCTTCCTCACAGATTGCACCAAATCCTTTCTCACAGATTGTACTTAAGCCTTCTTCGCAGGTTGTTCGAAATTGGTTGGTTAAATAGTTACTTTATAATTTTGGTAGGCTTATTTATGATTCGCCAGGTCTCTGATTGATTCCGCGTTTTTCTCGGGACTCACTGTTGGACCAACCGTTACAGCCCAGTCTGTCATTCCATTGTTTAACTTTGCCCCTCCTTTTTGCAACGGTTTTAAAAATAAATGAGGAATGGAGTTTGTTTTGAACTGTGATATTCGCATGGTGGATGCTTCACGCCTAAATTCCCTGTTCCTCCAGCAGTAGGCTAATGGCGAAAAGATACTAGATGTATATGAAATGACCTTCACCCAGAATTTAAAGCTCTCCTGCATGTGGATAGAAACTGCATTAGTGACACAATCACCGCAAATGTTTTCAACCAAATAGTAAATACCAATCGGCGCCCAGCAAAGCAAGAAAATTCCAACAAGAAGGAGCGTGGTCCTTGTTGCCCTCAACTCTATTAAGGTCTTAAAACCTCTTTTCGCTTCTTGGTGTCCTTCCAGTGAGGCCTGTGAAATTTCCCTCGCATGGCGTGCAGCTAGCCTCCAAATCCATGCGTAACAAACCGATATGATCAAAAAGGGTATTACAATCGTAAGAACGAGAACTGCAATGCTCCAAGCCCTCCACGGCACATATTTACATTTCAAGTCTTTGGAGGCCCCGTAGATGAAGGGAAGTAAGTCAATTATAATGATCGCGACCCAAAATGATATGATGCATGTGATCATTCTGCATTTGGATATGATATTGTGGTACTTGAAAGGACAGTTGATAGCGACCATCCTGTCCATGGCTACGAGAAGTATACTGAGCGTCAGCATATGACCGCACATGAAATATGGGAATCTAAACAGATCGCAAATCCACTCAGGAACGTTGGACAAATCAAGTCGCTTCAAGCAATACGCTGGTACTACAATAATTCCTTGAATCAAGCCGGCAAGCAGAAAGCTAATTATTGGATAGTTCTTTGGTTTTCGTAAACGCCTTCTTCGGTAAATGATCATCAGAGTCAAGACGTTGATAACAACAGTTGCAGTCCCCAGAATCGCTAGTACTGAAATCACCACTGCAGTTGAAACCATCTCTGAATCACGACATGTAGCCGATTGACCTTAAATCAGAATGCAAGCCATGTTAGAACATTTGGTAAGACGCTTGACTTCTAAGCAAGCTTAGAGCAAGTGACTAGCTGCAAGTAATAAGGCTGCGCAGACAGCAGGTATAGATGTTTTGCAAGCAATTTAATTTGCGATATATTTCACCTGTAAACCTGCAGCAGTGCATTCTCATCCACGTGACAAACTTTCAAGGAAATTGGCCATTAACGGTAGCTTTGTGAAGAACGAACTGTTTACCAGAGCGATATACTGTTATACTCTTTTTATATGGAGTCTACAATCCCGGACAGACGGTGTTGAGATTTGTACCCCTTCTACCAGGTCAATGTTCATTTCTCTGCTAATAAAGTACATACAGACCAATTTTTAATGGAAGAGAGGGGTGTTGAATTATTCTATGCATAAGTCTTTATGACTTTCATTATATTTAATAACTGAATACACAGTTTGTTTACGCGAGCGTATCTAAGATGTTATTGAAACTTGAAAAAGATTTGACCAACCACATATTTGCCACAGACTTTTTGGTTTGGCTTTGTCTAAAAGGAATAGACGGGGAAATTATTCAACAATCTAAACCAAGTGCCTAACCATAAATCTCTCAAGTAATTTTGATTATTTAGCATACAAAAAGTACTTTTAGACTCACGCTCGCAAAAGCTCATTGTTTGTAATAAGTCTTTAATGTACGTATGTCCTAAATAGCTAAAAATCATTGAGAAATTAAAGGCTATTTGGTTTTGTGATGGATTTTTCATCAATCAACCACACTGATGACGTCATCATTTACTAGCCCCCTGGTAAGTTACAAAAATGTTTCAAAGTCTAATAGGTACTCTTTATATGCTAAATAATCAAAATTACTTGAGAGATTTAAGGTTAGGCACTCGGTTAGATTGTTGTAATAATTTTCCTGTCTAAAACCGTTTTAAGAAACGTTATGTCCTTATACTAAACAAAAATTGTTCAAGAAGCCATGTGAGGCGGGGATGTAATGCTTGAGGAGGGGGGGGGGGGGTTCAGGGGAGCTGAAATGCCGATAAGTAGCCAATTTTTTGCGATTGTATCTAGAACTTTTTGCACAAGGGCCTTCCTTGATAACACTACACTCCTCTTGAGAGGATTAATTTAAGAATCTTTCGTCTATTATATGTGGTATGGTTTACAAATAGTTATAAACAAATAATCCCAAAAAAATTCATACAAAATTGACTGTTATGGAAAATTTCCATACTTTTCATGTTGAAGCACTACAAAAAATTTTTTAAAAGAGCCAGATAATTTTTGCCGAGGCTCCATGTTTTGGTTTTTTGAATAATGAGGCTCTGGTGTTGTTAATATTTTTCTCATCGCAGCATTATTTTTTCTACATTTACATGCTATTCGTAAGACCACTAAATAACAGCCCTGCATGAATTTTTAGTAGCAAGGTTGATTTACTGATAAAATATGCTCTGTTTTGTTGACATAAGATAAAATATTCCAGGACACATCGTTTTCTCCGACTGTTTTCGTATTATTTGGCAAATCGAGCCTCGGTGTTCTTATAAATTGTGTTTACAAAATTAATGTATTATTTATCTGGATGACTGGACCATCTATTATGTAGCTGCTTTCACTGGTAGGCTTGCAAGGGATTTTGGGATGTGAGTGTAAGCCGGACTCTGCCTCCCAGTTTCATTAAGCAGCCCTTCGTTCTATTTCAAAGTCTATAGTTTTCATGTTGGTAGTTGGTAGTTTTCATGTAAACAAGCGGTGTTCTAAAACTACGTCTTTGTTCTCACGGACCTCTTTTTGCGGGCAGGATCAAGGTTACCCTGGGTACCAGAGCCGCAAAAATTAAAATTAAAAAATTATGAGAGTGAATTTTTTAATTTTAATTTTTGCGGCTTTGGTACCCAGGGTAGATCAAGGTCTGTTCTACATGCCATGCCAGGGTAAAGCTCTGTCTGCTTAGTGCGTAAAAATAAGCCCTGCAATGTACTCGAAAAGTCTTCGTACACTGCCCTCGATTTTTGAATATTTTATAATAGACCCCTTCTCCCACACCGCACAATATTGTTTGAATGGTTTGGTTATCGTTGTGGTCCAATGGATTCATTTCTATGATATTTAACTCTACAACCAACATTGTTTTAGGGGGGGGGGGGAGGAGGCGCGGAGTCGTATTTTTTTTTACCAAAAACAGTAAATTTTTTTGAAGCAATGCTTATGCAACTGGAGTTTCTAAGGAGTTTTGGCAGGGATGGTACATATGTAAAGAGCACTGGAGTCTACCATAAACTGGCTGAGACATAGCTTGATGGGCACAGACGCGTTGTCTATCAAATCACAGTAATTTGGTCTTGGCAAAACAACAGTTATCCATTTGTAAACTTCAGGTCTTTCATTTCACATATCCCAGCCAATTTCAAATATATTTAACTGGTTTAGCACGATTCTTGGTATTTTGTGGTGATCTTGAGATTATTGTCCAAATTAAAATTGAATTTACCAGACTAGGGTCAATGAAATGTTTTAGCAAGTCAACAGATATGCTGTTTCGAAGTTAAAAGGCGAAGAATGCTCTTTTGAGTCATTATATCACTAAGAGCCGCGTTTGCAAACCCGAAAACCCTGCGTGCTCCCAAGTTCGAGAGTTATTGCATGAGCTCATTCACCGCCCTCTCTTTAGTGGCAATGTTCTTCTCCTCAATCTAGAATATATCCATCCAATCGTGTGGCCCAATCAATTTTACTAAAGACTTGCAAGCTGTTGTTTACAATGCGTATGATTAAATTATACTTTGCCTAGAGATCAATCGTCTAGAGAGATGCATATATATTGTATATACATGAATTAAATTTGGTTACAGCTGCAATCAAACTTCTAACAATGCGAATTAAACAGGATAGAATTTTCTATTAATCTGTGTACATATGGTCTAAGCTTGCATGTGTGTAAGGAAGATGAAATATTGCAAAGTTCACTAGCATTTGGTAAAATTTGATAACAAAGTTTGGAAATATGAACGTCAGTCAAAAAGGTTCTTTAACAAAATGCCTTTATATTATTTTCAATCTAAAATTATGGTAAGGTTGCGTTGAAGCTTAGTGATTAAAAACGACTTATTGCTGGTTTCGTAATTAAATTATCATGGAGGAAATCTTACAACAGATAGGAAATGTATGTCACGTTTATCCAATAAAATATGACTGAAGAAACGTCTACGGTTTCTGAAAAAGCCTTATATTTTTAAACTTTTAGTTATTGCTTTCATTTCGCGAACAAAAGTATGGAAATCAATAGTGAGGGATTTCGTATATAATATACCATTCTAAACTACATTTTCTGTGATAGGAATAGCAAACTTAAGATGTGTTTTAATCAAAGAAAATTTGCTGCTATATGAAATTGTAATGAAGCTTCAAAGAAGAACTCACTCTAGTCTTGTTGAAATCGAAAAACTGACTGTTGACTATATCGCACGACAGAAAGTCATTGCGCGTATCCACGTTGACATGTGCTCGAATGATAGCATTCACAGTCCAGTGCAGTTTGTTTTTGTCTACGCAATATGCTGACGATGTTAGAAATATTTCATATGTTTTAGGCTTGCAATGAATTCTGGGGTTAAACTGTGAGGAGACTTCCGCCGAAGCCGTATCCCAAACTTTTCCATGCAAAAAATAAAGTTTCAAAGCTTACAATCTGGAATTCTATGTTGAGTTGGCATTCAATGTCGAAACATCGCAGTTTTATCAGCTTTATCACTGTTAGTACTTCTGCAATGGCTATGTTTCTCTTCGCGAAGATGTCTAAAAACCGAACTGCCAGAGAGAAAGTTTCCCGCGGTTCGTATCAACATCTCCGTTTTCCCGCGGTTTATTTTAACATCGTATACATATATTTCACGCTTCACTTCTATCACTTTATTATTCTTCTACAATCTAAGACAACATTGTTCAAAAGTAGTTTGTTTTTTGAAAATTCAAGAAGATAAATAACTTCAACACACTACCCATAACAGCCACCAAATGAGGTACTGCGGAAAGGTTTTCTACCATTTTTGAAAATTTAAATGTTTTTTATCGAAAATCTCAACTGTTTTTGTCGGGGATTGTAATTGTTGGACGATTTCAAACAAAAGAACATATTTGATGTGAATTCACATTAATGTGAATTAAAAATTCTACTTTATACTCTTTTTTTGCTCGTTTTTCAATGACAATCTGTTCCTTGATTGTTTCAAGAAGCAGCTTGAAATTTTCCTAAGCCATTAACTTGTCAATACTTTCCAGACTACGAGAACTACTGATTCTCAAGCTCAGTGCACCTGTTAATGTCTGAAATCGAAAAGGTCCTTTCTTTGAGCAGTTGATCAGATCGAAAAGTTCCAGCTGTTACCGTAGTTAATAATTTCAACATAAAACCACAGAATATTCTTATCCTGTGATAAAACTAAGCACAAAAAAATATACGCGTCATGGGACAACGCTTGAAGAAATCATGATCACCCGTGCAGGTGTGCAAACTGCTTGCTATCACCACATGTGCAGATAATTTATCGTAACTCCATTCTAGGTATTGGTGGGAAAGTGTTGGTCTACCCCTTCCCCCAAAAGGGAAATCTTTAGAAACATCGAAGTGCATAGGGGTGGGAAACCCTCTTCAAAAAATTCCGTTTAAAAAACTCGCAAGGCTAGCAAAAGTAGGGGGCCAAGGTCGCACGGGACCTGGTTTACCGTTTTTTATTTCGACTTGGCCAGTTTTTGATCCAGGTTATTAGAGCTAAAAAGAGTGTCTGCAGCAGGTAAGTGCAAACTTTTTGACATGGGGCCAAAATAACGACGTTCTTACCGTAGCGGGGCGAGTCGGATTGCGTAAGGATGTGCAAAAGTGCTGGCTATCAATTCGGAACAATTGTCCTCCCAGTTCGCCTGATAATCTCCCTGGATCAGAAATTTTGTCCCAGTTTCCCGATGTCACCTAAATTTATTAATCACAGACTCAGATCCTAATACCTCGAAATCAAGTTTTAGGTGATCAATTTCATCTCTCTACCCTAGAATCTGTAGGCAGTCTACCGTATCTAGCCCGTCTGACCGACTACCGCGTCTATCGCAGCTACCGCATCTATCGCAGCTAACGCGTCTATCGCAGCTACCGCATCTATCGCAGCTACCGCGTCTATCGCAGCTACCGTAACCACAACGCCCTCCTTGTTAAAACCCAAATTTGGTCAAAAAATGCACGTGCTTTAGTTGCTGGTGAGGCTCCAATAGTGAAGTGAACGCT